CTTAAATCAAAAATGTATTTCCAATAATACTTACTCCCTCTCACACTACAGCTATTACTTTACTGCTAGGGTTTCCTTCCTTTGCCCATCTAAGCATTGGTCTGATTTTTTCTTGCTTGCTCCAGTCTGTCATTCCCTACTTAATTGCCTTTGGCAATATCTGTCTCATGACACTCTCCACCTACGTCAATGTACACTCTATCCTGGTACTGTATATAAGCACCTCATTCACATAATATTATCACTTTTTCAAGACTGACCCAATCCGCAGTCTCTAACACCAGCTCTTAGTGGAGAGAAATGGTGGGAGAGTGGGAGAGGAAATAAGTATTATTGGAAATATATTTTCGATTTGAGAAAATGTTAACTTCCCAAACATACTTACCTCTCTTCACACTACAGCGAGAATACCAAACTGATAATGTGGAGGGGCCAGTGAGGACATTATCCACACATAATGCATCTGTATAGATAGTGGATGTGTCAACAGAAGATTAGCACCCTAGTGGGGGAACTGCAATACACCCAGAACTGGTATGACCTTCACTCAGAACCTAATTTGTGTACTGCAGGTGAAATTTGACAAGATCCATCATCACTACTGGTCAGGCCCCAACCAGATAGCTGAAGTTTCACTGCTCGGGGCTGGGATTATAGGACCATGGTACCTAAATATCATGTCAGTGGCTATGGCATTTGAACCACAATATATGTATATATACTTGTGAGTGGATCCAAATCTGTATGTATAGAATGATGCATTCTGAGCCATCATAACTAGAAGGTAAGCAACACTGAAGTGGACAAACCCTCTAAAGAAGCCTGATAAGCAACACCCCAAACTTGGAATGATGGGATCCTATATGCCATACTACTCAACCTGAGGAAACAGAACTCATCCAGTCTGGAATTACGAACACTCATACTCTCTCCCTACCCATGGGAGGATGTGGAACAAAATGTGCTCAACCAAGGACCTGGAATTGGACCACTCTGAGTTTGGAATTACAAGGAGACAATAGACTCTCTTCCATGAACAATGTACTGAACCAACATGGATCAAAAAGAAGGGCCACGCTCAATAACCAGATAGTGGAGTGTCAAATCTGAACTGGTATTATCAGTAGGCTCCCGCATAGGCTGGTGCCTCTCCTACCAACATCTGGGAAAATAACATCCAGTGTCCCTGGTAAGAGGGTCCCCAACTTTGCTCTCTTCTCCAAGAGTGGAGGAAGTTTACTCAAACACTCTGAAGGAATAATCTCTGTCCACCACCCCAGTGACTGGAAACCAGGTGTCGTAAGGACTCCCTAGCTCCACTTGTAGAATCTGGGTGGTAATACGCATCAGGGAGTCCTGAGAAACAGTGCTCTGAAAACAGTTCAATAGGTGAACCAAGTTCCCTAAATTTTTAAAAGCAAACTGACCCCAAATTATTCAATCCAATGATTAACAGGGACAAGCAGGATCCTCTTATGCTTTACTCATGATAGTCAATGAGAGGTGATCCAGCATAGTACCTTAATATCACTCGGTCTGCCTCTAGGTGGTTTTATAGAACACCTCATTTCTACAGAGCCTGTTGTAACCTAGATAAAGTATACTGTGTTAGTGGTTGCTAGTTCATAATTGATTTGATAAAAGCACACCTTCTTGGGCAACACTCGCCACAGAGTAGGATCCTGTAAAAAAGAGGTGATCTATTCAGGTTGACCACGGATGCATCCACCTGGCAGTGGTGGGTGAAAGCATGCAGTTCCAACAAGTGTGGCAGACAAGGCATAGCATCCCTTCATGTAACTGAGCAGTAAACCTACTTGCATGAACCACAATATCAGGGTATGGAGGGAGAACTAAGTTTTCGCCCTCAGACCTTTCCACCATCAAGGAAGGTATAGACTCAAAACATCACACACTTAATCTACCAACTGAAGAAAAGGAGCTGGAAGCGGATGATCCCAATTTGTCCTCCTAAGAAGCCAACAGAATAAAGTAAGGTACTAGAAAATGCGATTCTAAATTCTTTCCAGAATGTCCAGGATCACCTTCAAGTGCAGTCTTACAGTCCCCTGGAGAAACACCACCAGACTGAGTATATGTCTCCAACTCACTACAAATAAGGTCACAGACAGCCTCAACTGAGAGTGACTCTCCCCACCCTGACTGTTGAGTGACACTAGATATCAGAAGTGAGGTAGGAGAGACCTGATTTGCCCCTGTGCTGGAAACAATCTGGGAATTCATGCCGTATATTGACTTACCATATATTTTTTTTTTAAATCAACTAGGTGACATGCTCAAAGTATCTCCAATAGTCATTGTACAGAGAAACCTGTTAGTGAATGCTTTGTTAAGGAAAAAATTATAATATTACTGCAATAAGGTGCTTATATACAGCACCAGGATAGAAGGCATATTGACGTACGTGGAGAGTGTCAACAGATATTGACAAGGGCAATTAAGTGGGGAATAAAAGACTGGAGCAGGCAAGAAAAAAATCAGACCAATACTTAGATGGGCAAAGGATGGAAACCATAGCAGTCAAATAATAGCTGTTGTGTGAGAAAATGTATGTTTTGGAAAAAAAAAAGAATATTGTTTTTTGTTTAATAAAATGAAAATCCTAAAAGTTGTATTTGATTTATTTGGGTATTTTGTGGCACGGTGAGGAAGCAAGTAATTTTTAATAAGCACAAATAAATTTTTCTAGCATTTTGTTCTTTTGACAAGAAGTTTTTTGTTTTGTGTTTACAAAAATTGCACACCCCTGTACAAAAACATGTTCAGTTTTCTTGCATATCTGTTCACATCACTAATTAATTCACTTGAATTAATAAGTTTAAAATACTCTCTCAATATTTTGCAAAATTCCTGTTCAATCCTACACTACAGTAGATATCAATTGCAATGATTTTATTGTGGAGTCACAAGAGGGATTTGTAGCTTGACAAACTGTCAGCAATAGATCTCCAACCTTGTTTGCTTACTTTTTTTTGTGATCACTATGTGTAGATATAAAAATTCTCAATTTTTAATTATCTTTTACGTTTGCTTTGTTGATACATAGCAATGGGCAAATATGTCTAGAGTAAGACACAAGTCCCGCTAAGCACATATAACATTTTACCAGTAGAAAAGCAGCCTTTATAAATAAAAGAAACACATCTGAAACATTGTTTTAAATAAAGCTTCATGTCTTTTAAAGTAATTATTTACTGAGCCAAGTGGCTTTGATTAATGAAAAACAATCAATTTTAAATAGGTTATGGACATTCTAAGCATTTCACATAGTTTATATGTCGAGGTTTTGGTGCAAAATAGCCAGCCAATTTTGCTGTAGGCTTGTGAAACAATAATATTAATAATAATAATATGAGCAAATGGGCAAATTTTGATTTTGTTTAACATTAATGAAATCACATATTTTGCTTTTTTATCAATGTTTGCGTTGTCTTAACTATAAAAAAAGGAAGGTTTTGATGTTGTTTTTAAGTTGGTTTTGGTAATATGTTCTATTAGAGCTTTGAGCAAATTCCTGTGTGATTCCTATTATGAACTGCTATTGTGGTTCATGATAAACTAATTCATTATCATTACAGGGACAAGACTTTAGCATTATTTTTACTAAATAATCCAAAAAAAAACTTCCCAGTGATAGAACATGCTATAATAATATGTTTAAAATTCATTAACTTTAAATCAGGAGCTTTTAATGTACCGGAACAAGGACAATTTGCCTATTAAAGCTCATGAAACATATGCATCTTTTTACAGATAATTATGAGAATAAATTTCTTACTCTTCTCTGGAATGCTGGATGACGTGTCTGTAGTCTTACTTAACTTTCGTTTTGTATGTAACATTACTGCACAGCAGGTTCAAGTGCAAACCTGAAACAAAAACATGAGCTTAATTTAATTAGCAATAATAATATGATATTTTCTAATAATAAGACTCCATAAAACTGGATTTGCCAAAATGATACAAATATTGCACTATAAGGCTAACCAACAGCTTTAATTGATGCTTCTTAAAAATGTATCTTTAATAAACTTCAATATTTTAAATTAATACACATCAATGCAAAAACATATATTCCTGTCACAATTGTTTTTCATCCAAATAAACTTAAAAGCTTATAAAAGGATAATTATATTTTAAAATTCATAATAATATGTTATAATACAACATTACATATTTTTTATAAAATTGTTGACTAATTTAGGTCTTTATAAATTGATGTATGAATAGTGTCAGTTTTGGTTAAATTTCAATCTCTACCAAAGAAACAATTAACTATTAAGCCAAACTGCCAAGGCCTAATTTTATAAAATTTAACCAGACTAAGAAAGAGAGGGGCCTAGTGACAACTTAGTCCTCGGTGGAGTAATGGGAAGAGCCCAGATGAAGATAATAGAGCATTAAAGTGAGTATAATCAGCATATTTAGAAATTTGGTAATTAAAAGATAACCCCAAAAAAACACTAAAAAACTAAAGTTTCAAAGATGTAACTTGTGAAAGGCCAAGAGCAGTGATTCATCATACACAGATTTAAAGAAATAAGACAAAGTATTGAATTTTAAGTAAAATAAAGGAATGATTAACTGGATAGGAGAACTACACTGTGAAGATGAAATAAAATTATTTAAATTAATGCAAATTGAAATAGTTAATTTGTAATTGATAATAAAATAAAGAATACACAATCAGTAGATAGAAAAGAGAATAGCAAAACAAAGGACTGTGCTTTATCAGTGAGCATTACTGCTCTCAAATGCAACACAAAATGCTCTCCTTAGATGTCAGAATCAATCTTTCTTGAAAGTGTGGTAGTTGAATATACCATGTGTTTCTGTCGTCTTATTGTATTAAAATATTTATTCTGAATTCATTCTTTATCCTGAGTATGTGAAAGTTTCATGTAACATATGGTCAAGAAAACCTTTATCTTGTTTCAAATTACATTTGTTCCTTTGTTATTTTTGAGAGTACATAACAGTTGTTATTGTCTGCAAAGAGCATTGCTTAATATGACACTTGATGTACAGATGTCAACAGCAATGTCCTTCAACAGTTGTTCAGCTGATATATCAAAAGGTTACGTCCCACCTATTTTGTAATGAGAATGATCGGTCACATGGGTTTCTCATGTTTCTCTGGATAAATACAAGGTTTCTTGTGAACCAAGGAACTTTGGATTCAGTTAGTCTAAAACTATACTTTTTTTAAACAACGTGATACAAGATTTCAGCCAAGTAGTTTGAAGGAAGGATCATTAGAAACAATCCAACATGTTTAATAAAAATTGTTCATTTAGTATTTCACTGTGTCTTGCCTTTTCTATTTAACATTACATCAACCTGGTCTGTATTTTAGCATTACTCCACAATTGATATGTTGATCAAATCTCTAGCTACTAAATGTATCTATCAGTTTTACCTAGATATACCACACAATGGACCGGTGGAGTGATCAAGATGTTACTGAGGATTTATATAGTTTATGAAGTGTGTACTCCTCTCTACTCCTATTCTTATGTGATTTAAGTTTAAAAAGACTTAACAGTTAGGAAATGGCATTTTCTATAACTAGAACTTTTAACCAAGAGCACAGTTGGTCATTAAAAAGAGTCGATTATCTAAGAGAACTGTCTTGAAGTTGAACACTAAAAATGAAAATAGAAGTTAAGGGGTTCACCCCAAGAAGGCAAAAAAGAGATTCCAAAAGCTGAGAATTTAGGAAAGGAAATTATGAATGGCTGTAAGATAGGACAAAAGAAAAGAGTCAAATGGACAAGATAGATGAGGCATGTTAATACAGGTGCACAGTTGTTTGAGAAACGAGTCTGCATGGACCCTAATGCCAGGTGAAAGAAGAAAGACAAACTAGCCTTGAGTATGTGCTTCATGTAATAAAGCATGGGAGGAATCAAAAGACAAAGGGGAAGAGAGAGAAAAGAACATACCAGTGAAATCATGTCAAGGAAAAGATTAGAATAGTGCAAACCTGGGTGGGGATTGCTGGTCAAAAATATCATCATGTTGGTCATGTTCACATTGGGGAGAAGGAACATTGGCAGAATGGCCATAAAGAGCAGGCCCAGTGTACACAAAGGAACTCACAACACATTGAACAATGGCTGCCATGTCCTCAACAAACAAAGAGCCCCCTGTAGCCACAGATCCCATGTTAGGACCACTGTCACTATCATAGGGTGAAACAGAAGTTACTGCCACTTGAAAATTCATTATGGCAGGAAACATCATTATGAATTTTATCTCTAATCAAAAGAACAATCCATTACAAATCTCAAGTAACTGATTAGCAATTTTGAAACATGTCAATTCTAGACAATGCTATGGAAATGAATAAAGTTATTTCAAGAGCAATTACTTAGGGGAAGGTACTGCACAAGGAGGTTGTGTTGCCCTTCTATTGGTGTAGAGTTATTGTCACATGATGATGTCATCCTGCACTAGTATAGTTCACACTAAACATGTGTTTTTAAGTGGGAAGTAGCTCAAGGCATGTAAATCCCACAGGCAGATGCACAAAGAAATCAAGCTATTCTGTGTGAAGAGGTGAGGTATCGTCTTGGAAGAAAAACACCGAGTTTGATGGCAGTACTGAACAACTACCCAGATATAGCTTCATAAAGAAATAAAAAGGTTACCTTACTAACACATACAGAGCACAGGAAGAGTCTATTTTAAACTACTAGTGTATGTAACTATGTGTAATGGTAATACATGTATATCACAATATGCGTGCATAAGTAAATATGAATAACACAAATGGATGAATTACACAAAAAATCAATTATAAGTCAACATGTGAATGGAGATAAAGGATGAGATCTGGATGTTAAGATCTTGTAATATGAAGGTAAGTGTGACTGTGGTTTTGAACTTGTTACTGCCAAGTAAGGCATTATTTGAAGATATGGTACACCTTCTGTTTGCATTAAAACTAGTAAGAAAAATGTTTCAATTTTAACGTTGAAATATTTGATAAGTAAATAAGGTGTGTGCATATGTGAAACCTGTAGAAATGTTGATTGTAACCAGACAGTTATGACCATCTTTACAATCTACACACCTGAATGATCTTCTGACCAATTGGAATTTACCTGACCTTGCATTTTCAGTCAAGACTTCTATTTAAGATTGAATTCTTGACCATTTTGGTGAGTTTGTTTTCAATTAGTCAAGGTGTCACTCTCTTGTGATTAACCCTTTCACTGCTCAAGTGAGATGAAAAACTCATGCACACACGCACAAAAAAATTGAAAACTTTTTACCTAATGAAATCATATTATAGCATGTAAAAGTAAAGAATAAACACCACAAAGTCATACAACAACCTCTTTGTAGGCCTGGTAGTGTGCTGAGTGAGGAGGGAAAAGGGGGTCGATCAGGTCTGGAGCTACCCTCACAATTGCAAGATGGGAAGAAGAGGATGACTTGTTTATTTTTTATAGATATGGTATTGCACTCCTCTCTTATCTCATGCACTGGCACAGCATTGGTCATGAATAACATGACTACTTTGTACAAATATGACATTTAGCACATTAATATAAATCACTAAAACTACTTTAAAAATGACCAATATCTACACTATATACATTTTTTCCTGGTATGTATAGGCATCAGAGGTGACTTCTGTGGATCACCAGTATAACCAAATATCAGCTGGGATTTTAAACAGTGATGAGAAAACCTAAAAATCATATGATGTGCAGAGTAGTTAACTAGGGAAACATCATATGATGCATGGAGCAGTAAAAGGGTTAAACCTCCATGTCTTTTCAAGCTGGACAATGGAAGTGCCTACAATAACTACCACTACACTGAAAAGTACCTGTTTGGCAAAGAGCTGGACTTCTCCACTGACCCAAATATGTATGGAGCCAACCTTACTTTTCATATAATAGAGTCCATGGATAAAAATATGTGCTGGCCAAAGCATCTTACAATGATACATTGTTGAATCAGATAAAAATATGTGCTGGCCAAAGCATCTTACAATGATACATTGTTGAATCAGATAAAAATATGTGCTGGCCAAAGCATCTTAC